CGTTTGGCTAACCAAAATGATCGGTTTGAGTTCCAACAGGAGAGTTTTTTCTAATTAGAAGTAGTCAAGGTTTAGCTAATTTTGTTTACAAGCAAAAAAAGAAATTACCATATTTGAGACAATCGCTGCTTTTTAAAAAAATTATAAAGAGTATTTGATCAGATATATAATTTAAAAATAAATATTTTTCACCACAAACATAAAACTTGTTCGGTACGGATATTCAAATAGCACATGCCTGAAACACCCCCTCCCCTCCTCACATGAATCAACAACCACCACCCCCCACCTGAACCAAACCCCCCACCGGAACAATCACGAGACGAGCCTCCCTTCCCACCTGAACCACCATACACGCCCCTCCCACCTGTACCACAATCAAGCTCCCCTCGTGAATCAAAATCAACCACCCTCCCTTGACCTGAATCACCCGCCCTTGACCTGAACCACACCCTCCTGACAACGTGAACCAACCCCCAACCACCGGCCAGAAACAACCCCCCAGGCCATTTTTAAATGACCCCAAATTTGTTTCAACTTAGAATCTTGGATGATAGTTTTGACTAAAAAGTCAAGAAAATTATGACACTGATGACAAACAGTTACGAAATAGAGAATATACTTTTTCGCAAATTTTAAATTGAATTGTATAACCTAGCACACTATTTGTTTCTTTGAAAACATAAGGGTAATTTTAAATGAAAAAAAAAATGTTTTGTTATCATTACGAGGCATTTTTGAACACTGCATAGGCGCTCAATTTAGGGCGTGTAGGTCTCTCGAATACAGAAGCATGTTTTTAAAGATGTTAAAGATTTGTGGGAACGATCAAGGAAATTGAGAAGATTAACATCCGGGTTGATGTCCATGCAAAAAAAGCTGTCAATTAAATTCATTAATAAAGTTTTTGAAAAATCAGCTATCAAACTTTCTTCACAAACCAAATTGGTATTCTAAGCATTTTCTTAATCTGACTTTTTCTGGAAAACAATCTTTAATTGCTTGCAACTTTGGTAAGAAAAAAAGTTTTAGAACTAAAAAAAAGTTTTTCAAAGACTTTCTTTCATGAAAACTGTTTGACATGCAATTTTTAGAGAAAAATTGTTAGTGTTAACTTACATGGCTAATGTCACTAAGTTTTCTGCTTGAAAAATGCCACCTATACTTTGGGTTTCTTATGATAGAAAAACATGGATATAACACACACACAAAGTTGAAAAGGTTTTTGTTTTTACTTTTTGATTTATGGAAAAAAAATCTGAAAAAATGGAAAAAATCATAGAGCAGAGAAACTGCTTGCCATTAAAATTTTTATTTCAAAATTTTTAGTTTTTTTTCCAATTTTGTGATATACAGTATGGCAACAAACTTTTGCCAGAGTGTGGCAAAATTATATGCTACTTTCATACATTTTTTTTTGTATATGAGTTTGTCTGATAAGCTTTTTTGTCAACTCCGGCAATTTGGCCTTGTGCTAATTTGTATAGTTTTCGGTTCTTCGTACACTTATTTGTATGTTTAGTTACGGTTGTTTGTAGGTTTTTTCAGTGCTCAGAGGTTTCACTTATTATGATCAAAATATTAGCTGGTTCAATTTTTACTAAAATGATTCGAGCTCTTTGTTAAAAATTGATGAAAGCTGAAATTAAATAGCAAAAAAAGAAAAGCTATCATCAGTATCCTAATGAACTTCACTACCTCTAGGAAATTTTTTAAAAATTGGAAGTTTTGTGAAAGGCTTCGTAATTTCAAAAATAAAATAATATATAAACTTGTCATTAATTGGAACTTAGAGGAAAAATGCGGAAAACTGACATTTGCTTTTGTTCCACTACCCGTTCTCATCGAAAGCTTCTAATCTAAATAGGTTTTTAATATCAATAACCTAATCTAATTTTTGTGTGTTTCCTGTTTAGAAACCTTTTTTTTACTCATCTAAGATTAGAAATATAAAATTTCTAGAAAAAATAATCTAAAGTCAGTTCACTGCTCAACGGCAACGTGATAAACGTTTATTTTCTATGTTCTGAGTAAAAAACAGTAGTCTCGGCAAAACAATTCAAATTAAAACTTGTTATAACAAGTGTTACTTTGCATTAGGTTGCTACAACTATTGCGAAATATAGTCGAACGGTTAACACAAACGTTTGGCTAACCTAAAATGATGGGTTTGAGTTCCAACAGGAGAATTTTTTCTAATTAGAAGTAGTGTAGATTTAGCAAACAAAAAACAAAAAAATGAAATTACCATATTTGAGACATTCGCTGCTTTTTAAAAAATTTTATAAAGAGTAACTGATCAGATATATTATTAAAAAGTTAAATATTTCTCACCACAAACATAAAACTTGTTCGGTACGGATATTCAAATAGCACATGCCTGAAATACCCCCTCTCCTCCTCACATGAACCAACAACCAACACCCCCCACCTGAACCAAAACCCCACCGCAACAATCACGAGACGACACTCCCACCCCACCTGAACCACCATACACACCCCTCCCACTTGTACCACAATCATGCTCCCCTCGTGATCCAAAATCAACCACCCTCCCTTGACCTGAATCACCTGCCCTTGACCTGAACCACACCCTCCTGACAACGTGAACCAACCCCCAACCACCGGCCAGAAACAACCCCCAGGCCATTGTTAAATGAGCCCCAAGTTTGTTTCAACTTAGAATCTTGGATGATAGTTTTGATTAAAAAGTCAAGGAAATTACGACACTGATGACAAACAGTTACGAAATAGAGAATCGACTTTTTCGCAAAATTTAAATTGAATTGTATGACCTAGCACACTATTTGTTTCTTTCAAAAACATAAGGGTAATTTTAAATGAAAAAAAAATGTTTTTTTTTATCATTACGAGGCAATTTTGTACACTAGATAGGCGCTCAATTTAGGGCGTGTAGGTCTCTCGAATACAGAAGCATGTTTTTAAAGATGTTAAAGGTTTGTGGGAACGATCAAAGAAATTGAGAAGATTAACATCCGGGTTGATGTCCATGCAAAAAAAAGCTGTCAAATAAATTCATTAATGAAGTTTTTGAAAAATCAGCTATCAAACTTTCTTCACAGACAAAATTTGTATTCTAAGCATTTTTTTAATCTGACTTTTTGCGGAAAATTATCTTTAATTGCTTGCAACTTTGGTAAGAAAAAAGTTTTAGAACTAAAAAAAAGTTTTTCAAAGACTTTCTTACATGAAAACTGTTTGACATGCAATTTAATTTTTCCGTAGAAAAAGTAAGTTTTCGTTTTTTTTTCATGCAAACTTGCTTCTGTGCTCAATTAGACATTTTACGAAAAAAAACTATTGCACGCAAATTTGATATATTTTGTCTATAACGTAGTCCAGGTTGAATTTTTCACTAAAAAATCGAAAATAGTTTCAATTATTTATTTAGTTTTTCGTATGCTGAGATAACCCTAAAATGATAGAAAAACATGGCTTCTTTTCTCCGCCATTCAAATTTTTGAATCAAAAGTTTTCTAGTCTCATACAAAAACGTTGTTAGTTTTGACTTACATGGCTAATAAAACTAAGTTTTCTACTTGATAAATGCCACCTACACTTTGGGTTTCTTATGATAGAAAAACATGGATATAACACACAAAGTTGAAACAATTTTTTTTTTCACTTTTTGATTTATGGAAAAAAAATTCATCAAAAATTTCATAGAGCAGAGAAACTGCTTGCCATATAAATTTTTATTGTAAAAGTTTTTGTTTTTTTTCCATTTTTGTGATATACAGTATGGCAACAAATTTTTGCCAGAGTGTGGCGAAATTATGTGCTACTTTCATACAATTTTTTTTTGTATATGAGTTTGTCTGATAAGCTTTTTTGTCAACTCCGGCAATTTCGCCATGTGCTGATTTGTACCGTTTTCGGTTCTTCGTACACTTATTTGTATGTTTAGTTACGGTTATTTGTAGGTTTTTTCAGTGCTCAGAGGTTTCACGTATTATTATCAAAATGTTAGCTGATTCAAATTTTACTAAAATGATAATGAGCTCTTTGATAAAATTGACGAAAGCTGAAATTGAATAGCAAAAAAAGAAAAGCTATCATCAGTATCCTAATGAACTTCACTAACTCTAGGAAATTTTTAAAAAATGAAAATTTTGTGAAAGGCTTCGTAATTTCAAAAATAAAATAATATATAAACTTGTCATTAATTGGAACTTAGAGGAAAAATGCGGAAAACTGATATTTGCTATTTTTCCACTACCCGTTCTCATTGAAGGCTTCTAATCTAGATAGATTTTTAATATAAATAACCTAACCTAATTTTTGTGTGTTTCCTGTTTAGAAACCTTTTTTTACTCATCTAAGATTAGAAATATAAAACTTCTAAAAAAATTATCTAAAGTCAGTTCACTGCTCAACGGCAACGAGATTAACGTTTTTTCTCTATGTTCTGAGTAAAAAATAGTAGTCTCGGCGAAACAATGCAAATTAAAAATTGTTACAACAAAAACTACTTTGCATTAGGTTGCTACAACTATTGCGAAATATAGTCGAACGGTTAACACAAACGTTTGGCTAACCTCAAATGAGGGGTTTGAGTTCCAACAGGATAATTTTTTCTAGCTAGAGTAGCCTAGATTTAGCTACTTTTGCTTAATAATAAGATAAGAAATTTACGAACTTTGAGACAATCCCTGCTTTTAAAAAAAATTCATAAAGAGTTTCTGATCAGATATTTAATTTAAAAGTTAAGTATTTCTCACCACAAACATAAAACTTGTTCGGTACGGGTATTCAAATAGCTCTTTTGGCGAAATGCTATATTATTTTTGCAAGATGATTATGTCCAAAGATCCAAGCTGTAAAGAGAGTTCATTGGCAACATTTACTGTGATGTTAGGGGGGGGGGGGTTAAATTTGGGCCTACCTTGACAAATACAAACCCAATTGGGTAATCAACGGGCGATATATTTCGTAGACTATAAGAAATTGAATAGAAGTAATGGTACATGGTCGTGAAGGAAGATGCCGAAATCGGTTCTTATGCCGAGAGATATGAAACCAAATCACACGGCGTTTGCGATGTAAATACTTTGAAAATTTAATTGAATGCAAGTATATTTTCAACAAAGTTTCAAAATACATATTTTGTTTCGTACAATTGATTTGAAATAGAAGAAGACACTCTTTTTTTGGAACAATTTTGACTTTTTTGCTTTTTACCAAAAAACTAAATAGCGGAGAAACAAGTTATATTCAATATTTTCTTCAGTTTTTAAGCGAAAACTTGACGTATTTACTGAGTATTGCTGAACAGTTTTGTCTGTCCGAAAAACTATTCCTTCGTATCATTGTGGGCACTCTAAGTCATGTCGTGGTCTTTGTATTTTCCGCGGCAGCCTATCTGAAAATTTTCTTCTATGTTAACTCAAGAAAAAGGACGACTTTGGCTCACAAAAAGGAACCTACGCGTGCAGAGCGCAAGACGGAAATGTTATCGAGAGTATTCGGGTGGATAAGTGTTTCTTATGGTGTTATTTTTGTACCACTTTCCTTGGCAAGTATGATCGTGCAAAAGAGAATCAAGGACTCTGCAACAGATGTGGCTAGATTTTATGACGGTAAGAGAGTTCTGAAAAAGATCATGCATGTCACCTCAGTCTAGAACAAAGCATGTTGTCTGTTCAGGCATTTGATTTTACCAATTTATTTGCTGTGCATGCAGTGATACATATTAAGGATTGGGAGTTAACTTATAATTATAATTATTTGTTCAAAAAGAGTAAATCTAAAATGGTTCAAAAAGACTAGGACTTTTGGAGACGGATCCAAGGTTTTCTGGAGGTGAGGGCAGATTTTCAAAATCAGCTGGATTTCTTAACGACTTCTAAAACCTCGTCGATATTTGTTTACGTCCACTAAAAACTCTAAAATACCCAAGTTAGCCTAAAGTTATTTGCACTGCAGTGTAATTTTTTTTTAAAGAAGAAGACCAAGCGAAATATTTTCTACAAAGCGAAAAATTTTAAAGATTTTGTCTGGAAGATGCATTTTGACGTTCGCCCTCAAAACTTAATTTAATTTGAAACCAGATTCTGCTTAAGAAAAAAAACTGATCGGCAAAAACACGGCTATCATTTAAAAAATTGCAGGTTTTCAATAGCCTGTCTACAAAACACTGTAAACCGTTATCTGAAGCGTTGATTAGTGTTTGAAGCTTTTGTCCTTTTAAAAATAGGGCACTTTTTTCTACCCAACGGTTCCCAAGAAGTCTAAAAGTTAATTTAGTGTCTTTTCTTTTTGAAGTACGACGTGATGACTACGAGTTTGGACGGGAGTTTGATGAACAAACGTATGCTACAATTTATCGAATGCACCGAAGTCAAACCTTGGAAGATGGTTTAGTAGGACTTTCTCGACTCTTCCCCGTTGTGAACTCCTTAATTCTTTTATTACTTCTCAGCCACTTCAAGTCTGCAGCAAAAAAGATGCGCCAATTCTTCTCTCACAAGACGGCTGGTTTGGTTACGCGACGCTAGTTATCCTAGACGAACTGATTGATGGTCCTTCTTTTGTCAATTTGAATAATGGAACTGAAGTTTTATTCCTCATCAACGATCGATCTAAATGAAACGCAAAGTTTTTGACTGAAAAATCATCACTGCGAACAGTGAGCGCAAGATTTTTTTTCCTAGAAACGATAATTGTACAGATTTCAATTCGTTTTAACTTTTTTTGGTAGCCCGTTTTGATGTTTCTAGATTTTCTAAAACCTTAATTGGACCACATTTTGCCAAAATCTTTTCAATTTAAACTATGTAGAATCCCAATTCATTTTTATAAAACATGTGGGATGGGTGTTTCTGCATTGAATCCTAGTAAGTCACATCTTGAAAGAATGGTCGAGAGCCAATGGTATCTTGCAAGATCTTGCAAGATCTTGCAAGATTATCTTCATCTTGCAAGAGTCTTGACAACGTATGTTTATCTTGCAAGAATAGACGAGAGCCAATGATATCTTGCAAGATCTTGCAAGATTATCTTTATGATTTTGCAAGAATCTTGACAACGTATGTTTATCTTGCAAGGTTCTTGAAAGATTCTTGCAAGAGTACTATTATCGGAATTTGGTATTAAATGCAATTTTTTTTTTCATTCAAAGAAAGATGATAGGAGTTTCTATACCTTGTAGAGTAAAAAAATTCTAGAAAACTATGTAAACAAATTTGAAGCCACAGTTTTAGCCTTTGTTAAAAATAAGAATATATCAGAGAAAAAATTGAGCAGACTTTTCGTGTCTACATATATTAAAAGAACAAAGTTTGTGTTTTTCTGTCTTACAAGTTTGTTTTTAGGTAATATTAGGTTAGTTACGGTTTAATTTTGCATAACAACAGTTGAAAAAAGGAACAAACTGAAAAAAGTAGTAATTTTTTGGCAGTTTACAATAGATTCACATCAACGTGTGCTATAACCAAAATGTAGTTGACGAAACTTAAAAAATTCACCATTTCCGAATATCACCTTAATCGAATTATGCGACTGATTTAAAGTGTTATTGCTATGAAATGCTTATCATCTTGCCTTAACTGCCAGACTTGATAAATAACAAAAGGAGCGCAGTTAAAAAAATTGAAATCAAAGATAGAATGTATAATAAGAGCCACTAGGGTTTTAACAGCATCAAAAAGGAATTGAAAAGTTTTAGTATTTCGATTCTAAGAAAATCAGTCATTAAACAAAAATGCTGATTATCATTGCTTTTTATATATGCTTTTATTGGTCAAAACGATTTGAGTCATCCAGTTCGAATTATCCACTTGATAGAAAATTAAAGCATGCTATTAGATTCAAAGAAGTTGTAAAGTATAATCAAAAACGAATTACAAAGTTTAATTGTTTGTGCACTGCTTCTTTTTGATGGCATATGTTCATATTTCTTAAATAAAATTTCATTAAGAGGCCAAATTGTGCACAGGATCTTTGCACAGTTTGGTGTCTGTATGTTCTTGGATTCCAGCATGTTCGAAAGTGTAAATGAATTCCAATAGCAAAATCTCCGCAGATTCCGCGAACAAAAACTTCTCACGCAAATTTTGTCGGCACATTTAATTTTTCTCGAAATCCGCAACAAAAAACATAGCTTATTATTCTGGATTAGGCAACTGTGGGCGGTTTTCGCAAATTATAATAGGATTCCCCAATTTTTAATGGAATCCGCAATTTTGTTTTTTTTTGTCAACAAAACCAGTTGTTGCGTATAAAAAATTAAACGCTACTGCTTCTTTTGATGGCATTTGTTCATATTTTTTAATAAAATTTCATTAAGAGGCCAAATTGTGCACAGATATTTTTCCGCTACAAAAAATATAGCTTATTATTCTGGATTAGGCAACTGTGGGCGGTTTTCGCAAATTATAATAGGATTCCCCAATTGTTAGTGGAATCCGCAATTTTGTTTATTTGTCAACAAAACCAGTTGTTGCGTATAAAAAATTAAACGCTAGAGCTTGAATTATTATCTAGTAATGCAGAAAACAAAACTCAGGACCATCGGCAGCTGAATCCACGAACAAATCTCTGGATATCACTTTTTGTACTTTGGGGAACTTCCCAGCAAACAAATTTGTCGAGATCGATTTGGAAAAAAACACATAATAAAAAATTTATTTGGGATTGTATTGGGGGTTGAGCGATTTCAAGTCATCAGTATATAAGATGAGATGATTGGGGTGAGCGGTGGAATGGGATGGAAGGAATTGAGATTGAAGCAATTGGGAGCAATAGAAATGAGATCGATGTTTGATGTGAGGCAGGAAATGAGATTGAACCTGACAAGATTTGAGATCGAACTTGGCGTGAAAAGAGATCGAAGTTGGGTATAAGTTGGCATGAATTGAGATCGAAGATGTTGGGGGCAGGAATTTGGAACGTTCTAGATGATAACTTGACAAGAAATGAGGTCAATTGTTTGATTTTTCAATTATTAGTTCAACTGTTAGCAGTAATTGAGATTTAAATTAAAACCTTATTAAATATGCATGTGGAATCAGCAAAAAAGTGCGTATTCCGTTTAACAATTACGTATTCCGCTTACAGCAACTGCACAATTTTTCTACATCTGTATTTTATTATTGCTGGCGGGTTCCACAAACTGTTCCGGATTCCACAATAACTATTGCGGACTCCACAAAATCCTCTTTGTTTTTAGCTCTTTTGAGTGGTACACTGTTTTATAGCTTTTGTTCGTGGAATTTAAAACAGCACAGAAGGTCAAAGAAGAGTAGTAAAATTGAGGATTTCACAACAAATCTGTTTTTGGCCTATAGCGGAATCCGTTTAAATTTCACAAAATGCACAGATTGGCCGCGTAATGTTGAAATAATGTAATCGCTCACCATAAGTACTGATCAATTTCACTGCAAAAGATAAATAAAACATATTTTTTAATTATCATTCATAATCGATTTTTGATCGATCAATTATAATTAGACATGGGAACAGGCAATCGATTATAATCCATTTTTTTTCAGAAACTTCATATGAAAAAAAATTGAAATCCTTTTTAGAGGAATAAGTTGGATTATAATCTCTGTTAATTAGAAAATTTGCAGCTTTTCTGCATTACTCACAGCCCACTCAATTTCTAGTTATGCAAAACTAATTTCCTCGGACTATTAGAACTAGGACTATGGTATAAGAAGGAAGTAGGGATGGTAGGAGTTAGTTTAAGTAGTCAGGGGGAAGGGAAAAATAGAAAAAAAACGAAAAGTGAAAACAATACACATTTTCGCTGCAGCCAAATGGAAAACAACTTTGGCGATTGCAACGTTTAAGTTTGGGCTATTTGCTCCCAAGTTTTCGAAATACAGCCTATTATCCACAAAAATTTATCTTATTTCATTGTAATCTCTAACAATCCATTATAATCTTTTTTAAATGGGTTAAATTTTTTCTACTTTCATTTATTTTTAATTGATCTGTTATCCATTATAATTGATTGTTTCAGATTGGAACTAATTTTCTAATCAATTATTTTTGTAGAGAGATATGCCTATATAATCCCTTATAATCGATTATTATCAATGGAACTTTACAATCGATCATTTGCTTTATAATTAAATTATAAACGATTAACGATAAAACAACTCTTCGATTTTTTTTTCTATGCAGACATACCTTATGATCGATTATTATCGATTGAGCCGCATTGCGCGCACTGATTTACTTCCATGAGAAAGTTTTCGCGCAATTGCAAAGTTACTGAAGTGGATAAACTTTGACTTTCGTCAAAAGCTAAAAAAAGTTACGACTGAGTTTAGATTGACTTCAAATTTGACGTTCCAAATATGATGCAT